GAGGTCGCCCCCTCTCCCTCTCTAGGCCTTGCTGGAGCTGGAGATGAACTCGGACCTCAAGGCCCAGCTGCGGGAGCTGAACATCACCGCGGCCAAGGTAAGGCCACGCGGCGTGCGTTTCCCCGGTGTCGGCCCCGGAGCAGGGGCGGGATCCCGGGGTCCTCGGAGGGCTGCACCCCAGGGCGGTGTGCGGCCGGCGGCCTGTCCCACTCCGTCTGTCCCCGCACGCGAGGGGACGTTGCGGGGCCGGCCCTGGGCGGGGCTGATCCTTGCGGGGGTGGGTTTGCGGTTCACCCCCTTGGCTCAGGTTTACCCCCGGGCTCCCTACCCGACGGCCGCGTTTCCGCTTTTACTCGCAAAGCCGTTGTCCTCGACGCGCGTGCTCCGCGTGCAGGCGATGGGGGGCTTTCGGACGCGTGTCTCGCATAGTTTCGAGTCTGCAGAGCAGAGCCAGCCCGTGGTTGTTGGAAGCAAGTTAAACGTAGTTGCCCGCCGTGGACTCACCTGTGCTGCGCTCATAGGCTGGCGGTCCCTGCACGTGTGAGGCAGGAGTGACAGCCGAGGGCTGGCGGCCATGGGACGGCTGCAAAGTGGCCGGAGAAGGGCCTCCGGAGTCAGGACTCGGGTCTGACAGTGCACGCCGCACCCGAGCGTGCATCGTGGAGGCTCTCAACTTAGACTGGATTTGTCTTTCTTTTTTTTTTTTTAATTTAAATTGTCTCCTTTTCTCCCCATTGACCTCTCTCTCCCCGGCCGCTCCCGCCCCCCCTCGTGTCTGTGTCCGTGGGTCACGCTCATGTGCATGCACAAGTCCTTTGGTGGATCTCTTACTCCCACGCCCCCTTCCCTCTGAGGTGGACGGTCTGTTGGCTGCTGCTAAGTCTCTGGGTCTATTGTGTTCGTGTTGGTCATTATGTTCCACAAACGGGTGGGATCATGTGATGTTTATCTTCCACTGGCTTATTACCCTTAGCATAATGCTCTGTGTCCGCCCATGCTGTTGCGAATGGTGAGAGTTCCTTTTTCCAGCAGCGTAGTATTCCATCGGGTAGATGGAGACCACAGTTTTTAACCCACTCCTCTGCTGATGGCACTTAGGCTGATTCCGGATTTGTCTTTTTTAGGAAATTGAAGTAGGTGGCGGTCGGAAAGCTATCATCATCTTCGTCCCAGTTCCTCAACTCAAGTCTTTCCAGAAAATCCAGGTCCGGCTGGTACGCGAGCTGGAGAAGAAGTTCAGTGGGAAGCACGTGGTCTTCATCGCTCAGGTACCTGTGTGCCCTGGAAGGTTCAGTGACGTGAACTCCGCTAAGATCACGCGTGTTTGGGCTGTGTGGGCACTTGGAGTGATCCAAGTAACCCTGTTGTGACTGTAGAGAAACTAGTGTAGGCGGCGGAGAGCCGGGGAAGGTGTGCTTGTGGCGGGTTAAAGGGGTGAAGCACACTTGCTGTTATGTTCAAATGGCGGAAACATAGTTGCTCAAAATCGACCGAAGGACTTGTGTGCATGCAGATAAGCATAACCAGTGGCCATGAGACACGGGGGGCAGGGGAGGCCAGGGGATTGTCAAGGGCGGGGGAAAAAAGGACACATATGTAATACTTTAAGCAATTTTTTAAAAAAAGGTGACCAAATGAAGGCACCTGAGCCAGGATTTTTCTGCCTGAGAACCACTTGGCTGAAGCTCACGCTGCGCAGATGAGGCAGGTGGAGGCAGGGATGCAGGGATGCTAAGGACCGGCTGTAGGGAAGGGGGTGGGAGGGTTTCTCAGGAACTTGGTGGTCGGGGTGGCTTGGCTTTCTCAGAGTTTGGGTTCTGTCCTGTGTTTGTTTTTAAAGCAGTTTGACAGTTTCTCTGACAACGTAGGGTCCTGTGGCTGCCGCTGCATGATAACTTTTTCCCTTGCAGAGGAGGATTCTGCCCAAGCCAACCCGAAAAAGCCGAACAAAGAATAAGCAGAAGCGTCCCAGGAGGTGAGTCTGGTGTCGGCCTCGCGGGGCTGTTGCCGGAAGAGCTGGGGAGTCTTCTGAAGTCACGTCACCTGGGCTTGGTAGTGAGTGACTGTTTCCTCGGTAACGGAGGTGCAGAGTGTGGTTTGGAGGAATGACAGGTGCTGCGTGGTTGAACCGTGGTCACGGCTGTCACACAAGATGGTGGTGGTGTCCTTGGCTCTTGGGCAAAGGAGGGACAGGGAAGGGACCCTCCGTTCAGGGTGCACCCCACAGCGGGGTAGCCCGGCCCTGTCGTCTTTGCTTTTTATCTTTGCTGTGAATTAAGGTAAATTCGTCTTTTCTGGTGACCATGCTCATGAGCTTGACTGCCTGGGCTCTCTGTGTGATCAGGACAGTGGACGCGCCTTTGGTCGAAGTCTCTGGTTTCACAGGCTGGAGGGTTGGCCCGCAGCCTGCTCTGCCAGATGGGCCTTCATGTGTAGTGTTTTATTCCATCCCCGCTCACAGGGTGGGGAGGAAAGGTTTGTTTAATTGTTAAAGTAAGTAGTTAAAAAAAACCTGGGGAACGAATAAAAAGTAAGTACAAAAGTCAAGGTGGGGAGACTGGCGCGGCCTGGAGAGCTGGCCCATGGCGGCTGTCACAGTGCGGGAGGCCTGGGGGGTGGTGGGACTCCAGGGTGTGGGCTGATGCACTTACTGCCCCACACCGGGTGGGTGCGGCTGGGAAGGCAGGTGTGGTTTTCTGGGGCTTGAATTATAGAGTTCGGTCCTTTGAGCTTGTCCTTGGGCAGCTTTAGTGTCCTAAGAATTCAGGAATACGCATGCTCTCCCTCCTGGGAGCCTGCCGCCTCCCCTCTCAGGTGTGCGTTTCCTGGGGTCCTGAGACCTGCCCGGGGGGGGGGGGGGCGGGGGGCAGTGGCAGCTCGTCCCGCCCCCCCCTCCCCGAAACTGTCCCCAAGGCCGCTTTTCTGGGCCAAGCCGCCCGCCTGGGCTCCCCTGTTGCTCCTCCTCAGCCTTCCTCAGCACACGCTCAGAGTAAAACGAAAAGTCCCGGATGGTTCCTGTGTCCTAGCTAGTTCACAAGAGGTCAGATGGAGGAGGTCACCCAGAGCATTTCCTTGTTGATCGTGACGCCTAGTGGTTTGTGAGCTCAGCTCTGAGCACGAAACAGCCCTTGGCTTGGCGCCCCGCTGGGGACCGGGCTCCGGACCTGCCACCTTCGCGCTCGTCTTCGCAGACCTGCGGTCCCAGGGCCTCGGGCGGCCACTGTCCTCCTGACAGACCCAGTTCTCGGGCTCCGCGGGGCCCTGCCTTCAGAGGCGCCTCCTGCTTCAGGGGCCGTCTTCCTCTTACAGAGTCAGTGTGAGCGTTACATGTTGTTTGGCTTTTAATCTGTAGCGAAGTCTCACACATTTCTCGCTGATGCAGCTCAGTCTGGTGGGTGGTTATCAAAGGTGTGTTGCTGTGGCCGCCCCTTTGAAGAGAAATTAGACAGCGTAGGGTCTGAGATGCCTTTTTAAAAACGTTTGTTGATTTTAGAGAGAGAGACACTGATTTCTTGCGCTTATTCGTGCATTCAGTGGTTGATTCGCATGTGCCGTGACCGCGATGGAACCCCATGGTGTATGGGGGCGATGCTCCCACTGGCACCGGCGGGGTTTGATTCCACCTGATTTGTCTGAAAGGGGATAATGACAGATTTCCATGTTTGAGCGCCTGCCCCGCTCTGTGAGAACAATGTCCTCTAAGGGGCAGCGGTGGTTAGTGAAGCCGACTGTCTTGTCTGTCCCTGAAGGTGATGGAGGCCATGGAGGGTGCTCTGTGGCCGTGTCACAGTGAGACCCTGGCAGTCACTGGGAGCCACTGGAAAGCCTTCCCAACGTGTGGGGCCTCCAGGCGGGCGCTGGGTTGGTGCCGTACGCACCGGGCTGATCTGGGGACAGGGCCCTAGACACCCCCCGGGGCACAGGTGCTCTGTCAGCCGGAGGAGAAATGTCCGTCCCACCACCTGGGCTGCCTGGTGGTGCCTCCAAGGGTGGGAGTCATTGACCTTCTGTTGTCAGCAGCCCATGGGCTGCGAAGGTGACGCGATGTCAGGGGCAGCAGGGTCCATGGCGGTTTGGGGGGAGGGCTGACGGGTTGGAAGTTGGGGGCCCACAGGGGCCGCTGTCCTAGAGCTGGTAGAAGTCTCTGGGGTGGGATGTTACCTCGAGTGATTGTTGAGAACGAGGGTTAGGGTGGTGAGAGGCCGCAAGGCCTTTGGTGGATAAACGTGATCACATGGGCATGACAGCTGAGGAAGCCTACGAGTGGACGTGTGCCTACGATGGGTGTGAGTCCTCGCCCCTTCCCTGGAGGTCCACTGGCTGAGGCTTGGTGAGCCAGGTGGCATCTCACACCGACCTGGCAAATGAAACAGTAGGTGGTTGGCACCCTCCTGGTTTGGCTGCGGCCCTGGTCACTGTATTCAGTGTCGGGAGCATGTGGAAACGGGTGCAGGTGTGGTTTGGGGACCTGGCACCTGCCCTTCAGGCTGTGTGTGCAGAGGTGCCCTCGGCCTAGCGGAGCACCGCCGCCCCTGGACCCTCACTGCCCTTGTCCTTTAGCCGCACGCTGACCGCTGTGCACGACGCTATCCTGGAGGACCTGGTCTTCCCGAGCGAGATCGTGGGCAAGAGGATCCGCGTGAAGCTGGACGGCAGCCGGCTCATCAAGGTGCATCTGGACAAAGCGCAGCAGAACAACGTC